AATGAGGAACAAATCTGGTTTTATTGAATGCACAAGGTATTAAAAAATAAGAATGCAGAATAAAGAATACTCTCTGCTTCAGAAACAGCAAACTGTGTAGCAATGAATTCATTTTTTGAACAGAACTTGACTTGTTTGGTAACTTCTGAAATCTAGAGGGAATGTTGGATAAGGAACGCTGCAATTTCTGCTTATAACATCTGTGTATGATTACACAGGTAAAAAGAGCTCTGCTATACTGGATAATCTGTCATCGTATTTTGAAGTTGCTGGAATCTCAGGAGTAAGCTATACTGAACATTTAAATACAGACATTTTGAGAGAGAAATCCCAGTTTAGATGCTAGGTATTGTCTGCTCAGAGCACCAGTGACACTAGAGGTCAGCATGGGTGCATCTACCTTAGCATTTTAGTCTGGGTCAGGAATGTGCTTTGTATGTGCTTCCTACTCTGCTGCAGCCCACAGGACTGAGCAGCCTCAGAGTTTACAAATTGGATTCTTTCGTGGAAAAATGAGTTCTTGAACAACTGCTAATGGTCGTTCAAGCCACATGCCTGGATTAGATCTAGTCTGAAATAAACTCCCAGGACTCGTATGGCAACTACAACTACTAATAAGGTGCATCCCAAGGCCACCTCAATGACAGAAAAACATGTGGAGGATGCTCCTGAATGAAAAAATCACACCAAAGAGGATATTAAAGATGAGCATGAAGCTCAAGGAGAGGTGCATTGAGGAGGCCAAGAGTTGAAAGATAGCGAGAATTACTAAAAAACATGCCGAGTCTGCATTCATTTCAGTATCATTTGTAAAATCAGAATTCTTCAGGCATATCAGTAGGGAGGAAGGAATAATAAATTGTAAAGACAAAACATGATTAAAGATAACTTTAAGCTTGAATACGAAATCAATACTTCACCTCAGTTATGGGCAATCAGGTATTCTGTATCTCTGAATTCTGAAGGACATGGAGTAAAAAATCACAAGTTTAGCACAAGTAATTTTTGTAGAAAATCTCTCAAGTTGGAGTAACACCATATGACGGAAGAAAAGCAAATGGAAATACCTAAACTTAAGTAGGAGGAAAAAAACTTTCATTGGTGGGGCAGCTGATTTTATGGACAACAGATTCTTCTCTATTTCATTTCTCATTGGAAGGTATTAGGTAGGAATTCTTACTATTTTAAGAAAGATAATGAATTTTAAGAGGCAAATAAACTGGTAAAATTAAAAGCTTTGCTTTTTTTATAGGTAGAAAAATTAAACTAAGCTATGTCACAGCGTGTATTCTCAGTGGATGCAAACTGCTGCTGCCAAAGATCCAAAATGAGCTGTGACTCTCTGCAGCACCAACAGCACTTAGCTAATAAATCCTGTTAAGATGCCTATTAACCCAAGGTAGGGCCTCATATTTGCACAGATTTCAGTTAACTTGTATTTTATAAAAAACTAGCTCCTCCTCCACAGAACACTCTTCATTCTATCCAGAACATGTTAGCAAAAAAACCTGACCATAGTATATTTCCACATATTTAGGAATACAAAGAAATTTAAGAACTGAATTGGTTTGATACTGACTAACAGGAAAATGGTCAATGTTGAAAGAAGAAATATTTAACATTTGTATTCTGTGTCTGTACAGGGAAAAAGAAAGATGTATCAATCTCATCTGAAGAAATGCTCTCTAAGAACAGTTCTGGGAAATGTTAAAAACTGGATACCAAGGTGACACTTGTTAAAATGAGATGGTACAAAGGTTTTGTGTCTAAGAATTTTCTAAAAGCAGGCAGAAGAACTTAGCAGACCACTGATAAAAATTTTTTTTGTCATTATTCTTTTTTCATTAGATCTCAAAATATCAAGGAAACTTATTGAGCCTGAAAGGCAGTGGGTCCTGTGTCAGTGCTATTAAAGAGCAAATGAGACAACTTGGATAATTAAAAGCCTCTAAGTTTGGCATCAATCTTAGCAAAATAATGGAATAATTCCTACGAGTCTCAATTAATGAAAGATTAAAGAAGGAATATAGAATTAATGCCAGTCAACATGATTTTTTTTTTGAAAGCAGATCTTGCCAAGCTAGCATGGTATCGTTCAAGAGATCACAGGAATCAGGTGTTGTTCTGCACTGCCTACTTCCACCGAACAGTCTGGATGGCAATGTAGTTCTCAAAAAATTGAACTTGTCTTAGAAGTGAGATTATACATCAGCATGACATGAAGCACCTGCCCACCAGTTTTACTGGGCATGTAGTGTTTAATTGTGGTTTGTTTTTTCCAAGAACTCTTTCTCTTTTTTTCATTCATGGCATGCAAATGACAAGCTACTATTAAATACAATTATTCAAACTTAATAGCAAAGGGAAGCTATTTGAAGAAATGTCCCTAAATCTCATTTATAGGAAAGAATTGTTACTGTGGTGCTGGTCTGAAAAAGGCTTAATTTTAGATTCATTTCCCACACTAAGATGATCTACTTTCTAAATCATTATCATAAGAAGTTCTGCTGCTTTGCAAAGTCCATGATGTAAATTCTTGCAACTCGCACAAGTTTGTGATGTTTCTCAGATGATGTTCTTTCAGCAATCCCAGTAGACCTAATTTAATTTCTAATAATTTCACCATGCTTAACACATTTTTCTAAATTACTTTTGCATTTGTACTCAGAGGGAGTAACTGGCTGATTTTTGCTTATAAAGCTCTTCTCTTTCATTTCCATTGTTTCCTATGCAAAGGGAATGAAGCTAACTGCATAGAGCAATTCAGTCATCAGCTGCTTTCAGTATTTCAATAATAATATGGCACATACTGTGGATTTCATATATTTCATATTCACAGCTCCAAACTCTGTTGCATTACACAGAGATGCACTATACCTCGTTTGTGCCTTCTGGATGCAGGACGATTTTCAAGACAGCCCAGCAAAATATGTGAGTGCTCAAGTTCAAAGGTACAGAAAATGTGCCCATTTTGTGCTTACTGAAATATATTTTAATCTTTTTTTTTTAGTAGAAAAATGGTATATTTAAAGTCTTTAGCTATGTTTACATTATTATTCACTATAGTATAAGCAAATAGGAAAACAATAAGACAATAGCATGCAATATGTATAAATTTGAGTAAATGCCCTGGGCGTTTTGCCAGACACATGGCATAAGTTTTCATAATTTCACATTAGAAATTTTTAAAGATTTTTTATTGATATTGTTCTAACTCCCAGCTTTGGCAATCCTTTTGTGACTATTTTATTCCTAATTTTCCTTCCCTTTTGAATGATCAAAAAATTTTTGTCATATATTAAAGCAATCATGTCATATAATGAATTTAGTTCCTACAGTATTTCTTGAGAAGACCTTTAAGAACTTGTGACAAACAGGTCTATATAGACTACATCTATGAACAGCTGTATATAGACTACATCTTTCTGAAGTCTTCCAAGCAAGAGAGCACAAGGTTTTATTGAAGGATCTTCAGAATAGCTCACACGTGGCTCTTTACCCTCTCATGTTCCACGCTGACTGCATTTATCCGTCTTCTATGTTTCCAACAAATTAAATCACATGACAATTACAACTTATTACTCTCTTTTTACATCTAGTATGTGAGAACTGCACTGCTCCTAGATTTGCCATTTTTACCGTCAATCTTTCTCATTTAATATTCCTCCATCTTTAAGTTATGATTTGTTCTTAATGTCTTTGAAGAGCTATACAACTATTGCCTCTCTGTCCTCAAGCCTAAATCCATTCTCTGCAAGTATTAGATCTGGTTTTGCCTCCTCTTTTTCTCTTTCAAAAGGGAAATAGAATAGGATGTATAACCTTTTCACAGTGTTTAGTTACCTAGAGCAGTGTCCCTAATGCCTCATTTTCTCATTCTTTTAAAGTTTTCATATTACAAAAGCCAACTTTTTACTCCCTCTTCTGTTCATCCCTTAAACTCTATTTCATCTTACCATAGCTTTCATTAGAACCAACAAAATTAAAATAATTATAAAATCTTATAAATGCTTTCAAATCCTTACTACTCTGGAACTATTATCTTGCCTAGTGCATTTTATTCCATTCTATCATGTTTCTGTAGTGGGTATATATATAAAAGAGAAGTATACCTGTGCACTTTAGAATAACATACATAAAAGAATGTCTGTGAATGAATGATACAATGTATAAATTTTAGTGTATTGTCTGTGTAATGCCAAAAATTCTTAATCAATAGAGAAGAGATCCCAAACCCATCAATAGTTAATTTAAAACTGCATACACTCCTGGAGAACATTAATTATATTCTCAGAACTCATTTATAATGAGCTTTTAATTAGAGAAGATGTCCTTGTATCTTAATTCTTTAAAGCAGAGAAATTATATGATAGGTAATTCTTAAAATAACACACTTCAACATACATTTCTTTTTCTCTTATTATATCAGAACTCCTTGTGCAAAGTCACTTGTGTTTTACTTACTTATGGCAGCATAAGTGTATGATAAAGGAGGATTTTTTTTCCTTCATCATCAGTAAGGATGCATACGGGAAATCCCGCTAATGGATGCCTCCTCAAAAATTTAGTAAAACTGAACTTTATTGCTATGAAAAAGAGCTAAATACATTGTAAGACTACCTCAAGGTTGGGAGATGAATGACCAGTTTTTCTTCCATTATTAGTCTAATTAGCCATTTACCCATACTGCCAGAAACTAAAACACAGCATAATGCTTTACAAAATGTCACATACAGTTCTGTGTAAAAGCTTTCACAGTACTTCACAGCATAGCCCCTCCTGAGAAAAATCATTTGCTTGGACAGCACCCAGTAAAATCTGATCAATAAACCCATCTTTATTTTTTTAATTCAGCAGCTTAGCTTTATTTAAATCTCCAGTTTCTAGTATTGCACAAACGCACTGCTGTATAACACATTGCCATCTAGTCTGCCTCTCTGCTTGGACAGACACATTGCATTTGTCATTGTTAGGATTCAACAGAAGCTTGATCCGATTACCTGGTTTGCTTTCATTTGGTTTACACTGAACTTCTTCAACACATTCTGCAGGAAACCATCCAATATGTCCTCGGGTGCTGCCTTCCCAGAATCCACCTTCACCAATGCTTAAAACTAAATAGAAAGAGACATAAGAAGCATTAGACTTTTTTCTCTTCTCATGTAAACCAAGATTAGTTACATAACACATTCAGTAATAATTGAATCTGTATCTGTAAAAGCAAACATTGTACAATAACTCAAATGCTGGTACCCCCAAATTGGGCATAGAGTAACTTTTAAATGCGACCCTCCTTGATCAGTTTCTGGAACTTCTTATTCTTCCCGAATGTATTTTGCCACAAGTTACCTTGGCCCTCATGCAATTCTTTCCATTTTGAGTTTTCTCATTGCTGCTTTTACAAAGGATAAATGCATAGTCATACTAAGACCCAAAAAAATTGTCTTGCCTGTTCAAATTAAGCTGAAGTGCTGAAGCCATTGTAAAACTGAACCCACATTGGAATTGGGCTTTAATAATACATATTTTGATATCCCATATGTTTTCTGCTTCCTAAGGAAGCACACTATTTCATTTAGTGGGTAGCTCTAGAGATTTGTAATGTAGGTCGAGTAATATGATTTAATGGTTTGAGTACACAGCAAACACTTGAATATCCCATAGGTGCGACGCACAATGCAGATGCCCTTTGAAACATTTCAATGATTCTTCTCAGTAGAAGAGAGTGAATATAGGGAGAAGAATGATTTAAAAAAAATAGAAAAAAATAATAATTTAAAAAGCTTTATCCTTTAGTTCTAATGATCCTGATATTAATCTTAGGACTCTACAAGCATTATGACAAAAGACTGCAGAACAACAATGTATGTTTTTATTAGTAAGCAATAGGATATGAATTACAATGATGAAAGGATCCTAAATACTTGCTGAGTATTATGTTTAAATTAATTCCATAAAAGTTCCTGCAAATGTATGCTTAATATATACTAAAAGAACATAAATGTACTATCAAAGACGTACTATACAATAATATTGGAACAAAGGTGATATTATAGATTAACAAAAACACTGTTAGCTCTTCTAAATAGGTTGATTGGGAATGTAGCTTAGTCATACAACACAGGTCCTCAGAGTACATCTGTACAAAACACAATGTGTGGTGAAGAGGTCCCTGAGCTACCAAAAATAAACCCGTGGAAGTCGAAGCAGCACAGCTCCATTAGCTGTGTGCTAGCTAAGCCAGCCAAGCTAACTAACTCTGTTGAAAATCAAGGCTAATTAGCCCAAGCTCGTCTCTTTGCTAACTTATGCATGTGGTTTTCAAGATCTGAAATATTCACTTGTCCAGAGCTACTTTGTCTCCAACACAAGCACTCTTTGTGCTGTTAAAACATATCTTACCAAGCTTTAAAATCATAGTCCCTGAGCCTGACCACAATTGAACTGTGTATCAGTGGAACTGCTGTGACTCAATGGCATTGAATTTGAACTTGATTCGCACTACTATATAGTAAGACAAAAATCAAATCAATGATAGGCCAAAAAAAAACATTAAAAAAATCTTGGTAATACTAAAGAGGTAGTAAGAAGTCTGGGTTGACACACCAGGATCTCTAAAACTGCATCTGAAATTAAATGTTTACCTAGTTTCTCATTAATGCAATCCTAAGGTATTTGTGGTATTACTTGTGGAGCATGGATATCTATTAATATAGACATTTGACAGAAATATGTTTTTAAATGTGTCTGTTTTAAGTCCTTTAATGTAGTAAATTCAGAGATCGAGATTCCATGAACTGCATATTTACACATCACTGTCAATAAAAAGTATGTATTAAGCCCCAGGAAATAGATCCATTAAGGCAAAATCCTACACCTGGATGGGTCCCAAATGCACAGTTTATCAAGCACCTTTCTGACCTATGTGATGAAATCTATACCTACCCAGGCAGTTATGGGATAATGGGGAAAGGCACTGACCTTGTGTCAAGGTTTAGGGCAACAACTCTACAGTGACACTTCAGCTGAATTAAAAAAATTAAGCATGCCTTTCCTTTTAGTTATCTAACACCTATTGATATTGTTAACAGAAGCAGAAAAAATTTCATCTCTACATTTAAATGCAAGCAAAAATGAAGAAACCAGATTGGTGCTTTAATTGTATTAATGAAATAAATAATACATGAATCAAAATATTAATAAATACAAATTTGGGGCATACTTAATGAAAATTATGTTCTCGAAAATGTTCGAAGCCTGCGCACATTAACACACAAAGTCAATTTGATAATTCAATGTCACATAAAACAGAAGCCTATTCATTCATCCAGTACATATATTGGGTATTCATCAGCTTCCAATATATTTTTAACTATGTAACCTTTGTTCACATAAGAATAGAGTGCAGCTCTTATATATGAGATAAGGAACTGGGAAAAATTAATTAATAACATATAGAGATATTAGAATTATTGTAGGATCTTACTGTACATTGATTTAACTTCAAAATCGCAAAAGAGAGTGTAGGACTCCAGCTGAAAGAAATTCAAAATGTGAGACAGTGAAAGATTCCTATTGCAAGTAATTAGGGGTTTCTGGGGAGTTTTCAGCACTGAATCTCAGTCCACAAACTGGCAAGACAGGGAGAACAAAAACTACTTAGAGACTGAGAAAGACTTCCCTAATTCAGTATTTTATTAATCGGTCAAATCTGCTGTTTTGATACTCCAAATTACATGGATATTTCCATCTCCAAAAAGCATTTGCACTGTAAGAAGGAAGTTGGGTATTTCATACCCATAGAGTAATTTCATGTGTTTATGGTAGTAGCATCTGATAAGACACCCAAATCAAGATAGGAAATTTGCTTTGTAAATCCATCTGTGAGTGTAAGGCGAAAAGTGATTACTACAGAGCAAAACCAGTCCCAATTTAGATCATTATTACATGAATTATTAAATATTAGCGATTACTAATAGCAAGAGCAAAGCGAAAATACATGTAAGCCTGCCTGAAGATCTACGGAAAAGAGGTAGAAGGGGAAATGAGGTGATGGCAGAATGCAGCCTTCAGAATTCTGGTTCAAGCCTGTCTAGAGATTAGATCTACAAACAAAATGATGCTACTTTTGGATTTACTATCAAGGAAAAACATCATTATGGGCACCTAGAAAGAAAGGGGAAGCCTGATGGAATTGCAAGAGGCATCAAGATGGCCCAAGAGGCAAGAGTGGGAGAGAGCTGATGTACAGAGACAGAGACAAATTGTTGGTGAGATGGAGAAGCACATATGGCCTAGTACTCCAAATGTAGAAGCTGAAATCTAGATGGTTCTCCACTACCAAAAAAATTGAAATAATCTTTTAATATGTCTCAGGTGGTACCACTAATAAGACATTCTGCAGCGGGAGCCAAAGTCATAATAATCTATGAATCTATAAAAACTGGCAACACTTCATGTATTCCAATGTGGATAACTGGGAACTGAAACGATAAATAAAAAAATATAATTTATCTTTTATACCCATGAACACTTGTGGAGAACGAGGCCTTAATTTCTGTCTTTTCTCTCTCACAATAGTGCTTAAGAGACATGTTGTAATAGATAATTTGGTACTAGCAAGAGATTTCCTAATCAACATTTCCCTTTCTGAAGGACTTAATAATGGTAAATCAAAGGATAACTTTCCCAAAATTAATAATTAAGCTTTATAACTTCAAGTATTTTTTCCTTTTGCTTTTAGTAAAAACAAAAGATGTGCTTGCTATGGCAAGAGCAGGCCAGAGTCTCTTTACACACAACATGAATTATAAAAAGAATCTGATGTTGTAAGAGGAAAATTACGGTTCTAGTAACATCACGAATCTTGATATGGCTTTTCACAACAAAAGTATAGTTTAAAAGAATAATTATGTTCAACTATATGAAGACTGCAAATCAAAATTGGACAAATACCAAACAATTGAATGATAGGAAAACATGAAAAAGCAGGGGCCTATTAAGATCTTATGTTTCAACATCTTTAAAGTATTATACCTAATACCAGCCAGATTCTGCTTTGACGAAGTCCAGAAAAAACACCAGATGTAGTGCCAATTGAGCATAGGATGGTTTGTTTCTAGCAACTTCTGTAAGATTGACAATGCATATATTGTAACTAATATTAACATAGCATACTCATCTCAAATATCTTATGTACTCAATATACTATCAAAAATTACTTTAATCAAAACAACAGAAGCATTTTATTCTTCCACATTACAGCTCCCTTCATTATGCCACAATCAAGAAATAGAGTATAAGAATATTTTTCTAGCAAATGATGGTTCATACTATTTCTTGAATCTTTGTGATATTGAAATTTCAATGAGTGAATTAGTCCAGGTATCCTTACTTGGAAAAATGTCAATGAAATTTACTGCCAAATTCAGGCCATTGTCTTTATAGCTGCACCAAGATATATCTGAAATGTCTTTGTAATATCTACAATCAATTTCTGGTGCTGTACAAACTGCATTCTTCTTTTCTGGGAAAAGAAATAATTATATGGATTGGAAATGACAGATCATCTTCTGGAAAAAGAACATTTCTACAACCGGGAGAAATAGAAAAATTATCAGAATGGTAATAGAATATAAAGTAAAGTTGAAAAGCTATTGAAAAATCTAGGAACTGAAGTAGTTCATGCTGATGTAAGAACTATCACAGCTAAAAGTAAGAGTTATATCTGCTAATCAAGAGGAGCTAAAGATGTCAATACTTTTAGTGAGATGTGGAACTACGTGAGCTGAAAGGCCTCTAGAAAACACAGTAGAAAGTAGAAAATGTCACCATTTCATTCTTAATGTGAAAGGGATGGTGACAGTGTCCCTTCCATTCAAACTGTAGCACAAATGTTACTTATCTTGATTCCATCATTTTGTTATTGATAAGAAATGCCATTTACCTAATGAAATACAAAGGAGTTTCACTCGAATTTTAGCTAAGCAAGGTTCACTGCAAATCTGATCTCTGTTGTTCTGGGTTTTTTTGTCTTAATGTAACAATCTTCCAGATTTGCTTTTTAAAAATAAGGTAGATTTTTAATTTCCAGTGGGTAGAGACCTAACTTTTT